GCTTGAACTGATAGTCACGCACTTTCTCTCGGTAGATCCTAAAAAAAAACACGGGAGACCTTCATCGTGAATCATTTGGCTGAAATAACTGCTTAAGATGATGGTTCCACTTTCATCCTTGAAATCCATGCAGAGTGAATATAAAAACAGAGGACATTACATATTGTCAAAAGGCTGAAAAATATTGAGATAACAGTGATATACACTTTTGCTCACCAAGGCTGCATTTATTTGATCAAAAACACAGTAAAAACAGCAATATTGTGAAATATCATTACATTTTAAAATAACTATTTTCTATTGTAATCTATTTTAAGAAATAACTGCTTAAGATGATGGTTCCACTTTCATCCTTGAAATCCATGCAGAGTGAATATGAAAACAGAGGACATTACATATTGTCAAAAGGCTGAAAAATATTGAGATAACAGTGATATACACTTTTGCTCACCAAGGCTGCATTTATTTGATCAAAAACACAGTAAAAACAGCAATATTGTGAAATATCATTACATTTTAAAATAACTATTTTCTATTGTAATCTATTTTAAAATGTAATTTATTGCTGTGATGCAAAGCTGAATTTTCAGCATCATTACTCCAGTCTTCAGTGTCACGTGATCCTTCAGAAATCATTCTAATATTCTGATTTGCTGCTCAAGTAATATTTCTAATTATTATCAATGTTGAAAACAGTTGTGCTGCTTCATATTTTCGTGAAAACTGGAATTTTTAAAGAATTCTTTGGTGAACAAAGTTCCAAAGAAGAGCAATTATTTGAAATGGACATATTTTATAGCATTATTCACTTCACTGTCACTTTTGAGCAATGCACTGCATCCTTGCTGAATAAAAGTATTAATTTCTTCCAACAAATTTCTGCACTAGTATAGCTAAAATCATTATATCCCTTTTTTAGCTATCAATGTATCATGCAACACAGCATACACAACTCTAATAATAATACACAGCATTGAGTAAAACAGTCCAATTTTATTTAGACTTGATTTTTAGAATTTAATGAATAATAAGAATGTTTTAAATAAATATTGGCCATCTAGAATGGATTTTCTTCACTAAGTTTGTTTGCAATGCATTCTGGGATGGTCCTTGACTCCTCGCTGCAAATCCTGGTCGGCCCAACCCCAATAAGCTCCAGATGATGACTGCGTCCAGTAGGCTTGCCGTGATAGACGGTGCTGACGGTGATACCGGTTGTAAGCCGCAACACCGGTTACGTCACTTGCCCACCGTGGCACCGACCCCCACCGTCGTTTTGATTTTTTATAGTAATAAAAATAATTTAGTTCAGTAAAAGAACAGACACTACAATTAAAAACTGAACGCGGCTGTTCAATGCAGCGTGCCGAATAACAGTCGCATCACAGATCAGATTTAATTTATCCAGTGAGGAGAGTGAGTCGAGCTGACTGACAAGAAGAGTAAAATAATATCAGAATGCAAAAAAAAAACATTATGGCTGTAAACATTATAATAGAAATTACTATATTAAATATATTTTATATAACAAGTAATATCAATTTTATTTGAATTTAATAAGTACACTACTGTACAAAGGTTTGGGGTCAGTAAGAGATTTAAAAAAAAATAAAAAATACTTTTATTCAGCAAGGATGTATTCAACTGATCAAAAGTGAATGTAAATAAATTTACAAGCTTACAAAAGATTTATATTTCAAATAAGTGCTGTTTTTTTCCCCTACTCATCAAAGAATCATGAAAGTATCATTGTTTCCACAAAAAAATATTGAAAAGCAAAAACTATTATCAACTTTGATAATAATGAAAAAATGTTTGGAGTAATGATGCTGAAAATTCAGCTTTGCCTCATAGGAATAAATTACATTTTAAAATATATTCTAAAAAATGTGTAATAGCATTTCACAATATTACTGTTTTTACTGTATTTTTGATCAAATAATTGCAGCTTTGGTGAGCAGAAGAGACTGCTTTCCACATTTAAAAAAAATCTTACTTTGAATGGCAGGTTATGATTAATAAAGCATTCGGATGAATCTCACGTTGTCACTGCGTGGAGCATCTTTCCACATCTCTCCCCAGTCATGCTCAATCTCCTCTTCCTCGTGACGAAGATAGTCCTCCAACTCATCATCATCATCATCTTCATCTTCATCAGAGCTGGTCTCAATGTTACCCTTCCCTCGGGCCAGATCGGGTCCACTGTCACCGTCTTCACCTGACTCACTCTCGTCATCTTCATCAGCCTCTTCATCCTCATCTTCAGAGGGACCCTCTTCCTCATCCTCTTCAACACCAGATTCCTCATCCTCATCTGTTAAAGCCAATTCAAACAGTATCAAGCCATAAATAACAAACGAATCACCGTCTTCAGAAGATCCATATCAAAACGAAACAATCAGATGTACATAACGCAGATTAATAATGAACATAAAAGCAATATAAAAGCTAACGCAGTACCTTCTTCAAAAACTCTCACTCCCTTTACCAGCGGCTCTTTAGTTTGCTTAGCTTCTTTTGGCTTCAGGATCTTCTCGGCTTCTTCCTCCTCTTCAGATTCATCGCTCTCTTCTTCATCCTCAACTCGAGGTTCCTCATCCGCCTTTTTCCCTTTCTTTTCCCTCTTGGGCTTTTCCGTCTGCTCGTTCTCCTCTTCTTCGTCTGACTGCTCGGAGTCAGAGAGCTTGTAGAAGCGCTTGAGGTCCTCGGTGGACGTCTGGTTGACGGGTCGGCCGCGTTTATCGACTGTATACGTCAGTTTAAAGCGTTTGTCATGAAACATGGACTTGAAACGCTTGTCGATTTTGACTTTGCGTTCTCTGCTGGGCATCTCCCAGAAGCGAGGGTCCTTCTGGACCTTCGAGAAGCGGTCGTCACCGCTTACAGTGTTTTTGGAGGTCATGGTGAATACTTGGAAGAGCTAGATAAAAGCATCAACCTGTGAAAAACACAGAAGAGGTTCATTTCAAGTACATGTGAAACCAATTACCTACAAGTATATCAAACCGTTGTAAATGCATATTCAATAAAAGAAATGCCATGAAACATTTCCTACGCAGATAACCGGCTCATGTTTCCATCTGTATAGAAAACACTCAAGTCCAAGTCAAACAAACAAACAAAAATCTGATAAATTATGAAAAAATTGAGTAAAGTGGGGCTTGTTGCCACACTTTATACTGCAGTATTACCTATGGTTGATAACAGTGCATGCTGTCAAATTATAATTTATAATGTATACTTGTCATTTGGCTGTATGCAAGTTCTTTTTGTATTTATTTGTTTACAGCGTCTGTCTGTAATTGACACAGCACACATTCTGAACCACTGTAACGTTACAGACTGTAACGACACAGAACTAAAATACTGAGCATGTCGCTAATTGACGAAAAATCCAAGAATTCAGTACAAAACAGACTGCGCAGTAATTAAAAACACTTCCATAAAGACCGATACTGACCGACTGGGTTTTCGTGCGACGTTCCAGCACAGCTCCACACGTGTTTTCCCGTGATGCTTCACTACTTCCGTTACCACTTGGAAGCCACGCCCTCTTTTGCATACGGCGAGGCGAAGAGCTCAAAACACACCATAGTATTGTACTGTACATCAGTACTGTACACCACTGTACTGATGGTAGTACAGTTCTTTTCCATTCTGATATTTCTGACAATAAGGAGTTAAATGATGTCTTAAACTTTATGTGTATGATGGGTAAATACCATATCCACAATACCTTAAATTTAAACCCAGCTGCTAAATATTTGCTTCTGATCTACATTTAAAAAAGCTGTGGAGACATCTCGTATTATAGAAAGGTTTTTAAGTAGCCTAAATGATATGGTATTTTTGTATTTATTTTTCTTCTTCTCTCCTCTGTGTTCCCCCATATGTTCTATGTTCTTTGTTCTGTATTCTTTGATTCTTTTGTATTGAATTGTATTTCTGCAATAAAAAGGGTATAAAAAAGCACACTAGACGGGAGCGTCTTTCATTTTACTTTTGACATTCTGTGTAGATTTTATAGCTAACTTACAAAAAAAACATTTAAAAAAAGTGTTACTTCAAATAAAATAAATATAAAGAATGTATTTTATTCAAGCGGCCAGTGCAATATTTCTCGTTTTCATTACATTTTAATTGATGTAGGCTTACAATAACTGAAACTAAAACTAAAATAAAAATGTATTAAAAAAGATTTGTAAATAATAATAATAATAATAATGACAAAACACAATTAAATTGCTAAAACTTAAAGACAAATGAAAATGGAAATATAAAAATACAAACTAGTTCAAAATACAAATAAAAACTATAAAAGCTACCAAACACTGAACTGAGGCTATTATTTAGTTTAATTCGTGAGTTTGTAGCTGGAAATATAAATAAACGTACAAATAAAAATAATATAATACATAAACAATAAATATAAATAAATTCACAAATAGGAAACTTAAAATTTAAATTTTAAACTTAAAATGTGACCCTCTAACTCTAGCACTTTCTATTTGAATTCTACTTTATCTATGTTTATCTTCTTTTTTTATTTTTTATTAAAAAAAACAACAACAAAAAACAAACAAACACTAACTTTCTATTTTTTCTATTCTATCTACTTGTTTTTCTTTGTGTGTGTGTATGTGTATAATATATATATATATATGTGTGTGTGTGTGTGTGTGTGTATATATATATATGTGTATATGTATGTAAATGTATATGTATATATATATGTATATGTGTATGTATATATATATATGTGTGTGTGTGTGTGTATATATGGTGTATGTGTGTGTATATATATATGTATATGTGTATGTATGTGTATATATATATATACACCTTGCTACATATACTGTGTTAGGCTAACCGAGACTTGTCATTTGCACTTATATATTGTTGCTCTTACTACTCAATGAATGTTTTTGCAGAATAGAATAGAATAGAATAGCCGTTTTTGTCTCGACTCCAGTCCTTACTACTCAATGAATGTTTTTGCAGAATAGAATAGAATAGAATAGAATAGAATAGCCGTTTTTGTCTCGACTCCAGTCCATGTTCCAGTGTCCGGGAAAGCTCCAGTCCATGTTCCAGTGTCCGGGAAAGCTCCAGTCCATGTTCCAGTGTCCGGGAAAGCTCCAGTCCACGGTTTACCGCAGATGTCTGTGCTGTGACGCAGAGCTGAGCTCCGTTCAGAGGCACACAGATGAGTGTGTTTGAAAGTGTTGCGCGAGCGCTAGAAATAAAATGTTAAACTGAGAGCCGATGAAGAAGCATGAATATCACTGTGAAAAGCCTCCGGTCTGTGCGCTGTCTCTCCTCCAGGCAGGGGGGCGCGATGAACGTGTTTGACAGGAGCATGAAGCGCAAGCAGAAGCAATGGGCTTCATCTTTACTAGACAGCGACAAATACGATTACCTCCGAGACGAGGTGAGGTGCTTCACTGCATGATGCCTTTGTTTTGAGGAGAACTGAAGCCGAGTCTCTGAACTTCTGCTTTCCTTGTGTTTGCAGGCGGGGAGCAGAGTGGCAGACAGAGTTTATGATGTCTCAAGGTCACTGTCCACATCTTCCATGCTTTTTAAACATCCTGTCATCAGCTCTTAAAGAAATAGTACAGCCAAAAAAAAATTTTTTTTACTCGCTGTCTTGTAGTTTCAACCCTGACTTTATTTTGTTTTGTGGGATAGAAAAGTAGATATCAAGCAGAATGTCCAATCTGCTGTTTACCGTGCAATAGAAGTGAATGGGGACCGGGGCTGTTAAGCTCCAAAAAAGCATCATGACAGTGATCCATATGACGTGCGTGCTATATTTGAAGTCTTCTGAAGCCATATGATGGCTTTGTGTGATGAACAGACTAATTTAAATCATTTTTTGGCATTTTGTAAGCTCGACAACTCCAGTCCCCATCCACTTTCACTGTAACAGCAACTCTGTCATTCTGAATAATGTGTCCCGTTAGTTCTCACAAGACAGTCATGTGGGTTTTGATTAACATGTGGGTGAGTAAACAATAACAAAATTGTCATTTTTGATCCCCTGAATGTCATTGCAGGACTTTTCCTCTGGCTCTGGATGTAGGATGTGGGAAGAGTCACGTCGCAGAGCATTTGAGTAAGGTAGAACCGTTTGTAATATTACAGTGAATAGCACTGGTAAAAGAAAAGCTTATGTTTATGTGGTTGCGATGCGTAATGAGATCTTTTGATGAATGTTCACATTACTCTGTTTCATGTAATGAAAGTGAAAGGAGACTAGGACTGTCAAGCTTCTTGTGTTCTATATATATTTTTGGTTTTTAACATTTTTCATATTCAAACAGAAGGTTGACAGCATGTGCTTTGATTGTATGAAAAAGAGCAGTGGGAACATTCTTTACAACATCTCTTTTTGTGTTCTGCAGAAGAAAGTAAGTTTTGTGTTTTCATTCTGTCCTGACACTGATTCTTTCTATTCTCAGGAGATTGTTGAACGTCTCTTTTTAACAGACATTTCAGACTCTTCCCTGGTAAGAGACTTATCATGTCTTTATTTTATTAATGCACAGTTGCAACATAAACCTTAACATTTTATAAATGGCTTTAGTTATGCCCGTTCAAACTTTTGGGGTTTTCTTTTTTTTTTTTTAAAGAAATTAATACTTTTATTAAGCAAGGATGCATTAAAGTGATCAAAAGTGACAGTAAAGACATTTATAATGTTACAAATAAAATTATATTTCAAATAAATGCTGTTCTTTTGAACTTACAATATGGTTTCCACAAAAATATGAACTGTTTTCAACATTAATAATAATAAAAGCAAATAATAAAGCAAATCAGCATATTAGAATGATTTCTGAAGGATCATGTGACGCTGAAGACTGGAGTAATGATGCTGCAAATTCAGCTTTGATCACAGGAATAAATTACATTTTAAAATATATTACAATAGAAAACAGTTATTTTAAATTCTAATAAAATTTCACAGTATTTTGCTGTATTTTTGACAAGCAAATGCAGCCTTAATGAGCATAAGAGACTTCTTTCAAAAACATTAAAATTCAGATTATCAACTCGCATTTTCTTGAAACTTCTTTCTCTTCCTTGTTCTTTAGAGAAATCGGAGGAAATGTGAGATTCCTGGTCACTGTGTTTTGGCAGATGAGGAGTTCCTGCCATTTAAAGAAAACACATTTGACCTAGTGCTCAGCAGCATGAGGTACCGTACTGCCCCAGTGCATGATGGGAAATTTAAAGAATGAACTGTCATTTATAAAGCCTTATTTGTCTCCTCAGTTTGCACTGGATCAATGACCTTCCTGGAGCTTTGAGACAGGTATGAGGATCTAACCAAGTGTGCAGTCCTGTTGTACATAATAAATAATCCAAAAATACCCCGTTTTTGTCGTTCAGATCTACCAGGTGTTGAAGCCGGATGGCGTGTTCATTGGAGCAATGGTCGGCGGTGAGACGCTCTACGAGCTGCGATGTTCTCTGCAGTTAGCCGAGCTGGAGAGGGAGGGCGGCTTTGCACCGCATATCTCACCCTACACAGCCGTCACTGACCTGGGCAACCTGCTGGGACGGGCCGGCTTCAACATGCTCACTGTGGTATAAATATTAATTTATTTAAAAGTTTGGTTACACTGATTCAGCTACATAATCTCCAAATCTGCTGAGTTGAATCATGTGTGATTACACTGAGGCCCGTTATTGTGTTGTAATTCAGGACATTGATGAAGTTCAGGTCAATTATCCTGGTATGCTGGAAGTCATGAGCGATTTACAAGGTAAACTCTGCGTCTTTTAGATTTGGTGTCTTGTTTTGTTTTGAAATGGAAGGAGAATGTATTTATAGTTTATTCATGTACTTCAGGTATGGGTGAAAGCAACTGTGCATGGACCAGGAAGTCACTCCTACACAGAGACACTATACTGGCGGCAGCTGCCATTTATAAAGGTGAGACCGCAAACTGGGAACGGCATCGAACGCTTGGAGGACCTCTGATATTATCGAAATGTTATTTGTTTAAAATTAACAGTGTAATGACCATTTAAATTCCCATAGTATTTATTTTATGTATTTATAATTTCTACAATGATAATTTTAGGTAGAACAGTGGTTCTTAACCAGGGAGCCGCAATATGTTGTAAAAGTATTTAGAACAAGACCAAACAAGGTTTAAAATAAGCTTAAACATCTAATAATCAAGATGTAAGCTGAGATCATATTTCTTAATTTGTTCCTTTAACAACTGACATTTTAATTTAAGAATCAGGGTTTTCATGCTCTTGGACAACCTGGATATACTGTATGAGCAAATATCATGAAAGTCATTTACATTTTTATATACATATTAAATTTTTTTTTTTACGTTTAAGTCATTTTTTATATTAAATATAATTTAGTCAATCTCCGAAACATCTTATCATTTTGAAATGGCTATTTCAGAGTAAAAAACCTAGAAAATTCTTGTAAATTCATTGGTAATAAAAAGCGTGAACCATGAAGAACATTCAGCTTTTGGAATTATGGAATTTAATTATTTTCATTGATTTATTATATTATATTTCCATTGCTAGTTTCAATAAATTAAACATTTGAAAATGAGCAGCTTTGTCATTTAGAACCACTGATGCAGAAACGGGTTTTATTTATCTGAATGTGATTGAAGATACTAGAAATCGTGTAATTCTATTGTAATTTCTTATAGAGATGTATGGCAATGAAGACGGCTCGGTTCCAGCTACATTTCAGATCCTTTACATGATTGGCTGGAAGCCTCATGAGTCTCAGGTCTGTTGCATTTCCATTGGTCAAGCATGGAACAAACCACAGCCAATCACATTTCTCCAAAAGTGGAATGTAGTGAGATTCTGACTTTGCCATCTTGTGATGCATTTACAGGCGAAACCAGCAAAAAGGGGTTCGGCGAATGTCTCGTTTGCCAATCTGTCAAAAATAAGCAAACTTCAGACCGTCCACCAGAAAACCAATGAAAAACCCTAGGACAGGAAGAAGTTCCATCTTTCAAATCAACTCTGGATCTGCTTTACTTACATGAACGTGATTACACAGAGATGTTGCATCAACAAACTGTATTTTTGCAAAAGCTTCTTTGACAAATGTACTCCAACAGAAACGATGAGGTGCATGTTACTCTATAAAACTGAGTTACCAAATCATGTTACTCACAAATTATTACATTCAGTTCCAGAAATAAAAAAGCAAATGTATAAAAAAAATGTATACATCTTACTCTCAGTACTCTTTTAGAGAAAACAAGCATTCTAGTGTTCAAGAAAATCCTAACGGCTAATATAGCAGTAAATCCCTTTCCTCCAAACATCATGAGATGTTCATGACAAGCTCCTCTGTACAGATCAAGTGTACAATACATTTACATATACATATGGCTTCATAGTGCTGAAGATTAACTGTAGAGTTCAACAGCTGTCAATGGACATGATATTACAGCGTATTCTACTTAAACTGCATGCAGGGGGTTGAGTATGTTGATCATTTTGAATCAAAAGCATTACTTGTTTTGCTGGAAGACATTAGCTCACACGTCATGTGCTATTTTGTCAGCTTTGACCTCTTAGTGGTTATATAAAACAAAAAAACTAATCTGCTCAATGTTAGCCTGAGTATCATGGATATTAGTACAGATTTGCTGTAATTCACTTAATCTGGAGTACATGTGGATTGGAGCCAATAACAGGCTGCCGTTCTCATTACATCATCTAAATCCAGACTAAAGTAGTAGAGATTCATTATACTGTACGCAGCAACTAAAACATGATTTAAAGTGAATCACAAACCGAGTAGCAGCTACAGGACGTCCTGTCTGTCCACAGAAACAGGCTTCATGGTCCTCGATGTAAACACAAGACGTTTGGAGCAGGTTATGGTGACCATCTGTTGTCAGTTTAAGTCCATATTTCTCATTCTTTGAAGCATTTAAAGCTCAATTAATGCCAACAAGGCACAAACAAAACTATTTACATCTACTTTGGATCCTTTTTTTTTCTCCATTCATTCTCTATTTCAAGTCACTCTACCTTTCCTGCTCTTGATTTCCAACTTTCCTGAGTGAGTTCATGAGTGTCTTTATGAACCCAGGTCATATTTCACCTCAAAAAAAAAGAAAAAAAAGCCTAATTTTATATTCATAGGATTTTTTCCATTATGATATTATTTTCATGGCAATAATGATGAAATTTTATTTAAAATGTTAAGTATTTTTACATCATGACAATATTGTTGTCCTGTTATTTCGATTTATGCTACTTTATATAATACAAATAAATATTTTTTACTTTTTAGGATTTTTAACTTTAATACAGAATAAAACTTTTTTTAAAAAAAAATCTGTATTACTATGGGAATCACACTTGAGAATAAATTTCAAAAAAAAAAAAAAACGTACGTCAAAAAATCTAAATGTATAGTATGAGAATGTCTTTGGAATAATATGCTTAATTGTCATGAAAATAATGTCACATTGCAAAAATCTTTATGGTTCCAAAATCAGGCTTGATTTTCTTTATGCTGAATATAATTTCTTATTTTTTTCTTTTTGATTTTAGAGTGAAATGTCTTTGTCTCTGTCAGTGCATCAGTCAGTTTGTATTTATGTAAATGAGTGTTTTTTTAATTGGAGTGTGTGTGTGTGTGTGTGTGTATCAGCCCGTCCCGTGACTGCTGTAGTCAAACACTCCCTTCTTAAAGAAAGGAGAGATGCTGCACACGGCGTGTTTAGAGAGGTGTAGTCCAAACTCGTCTGTTCTCAGAGGAGAAGAGGAGGAGGATGACATCATCACATGGAAGAAGTTCCGCAGGTATTGCTGGGAAAACACAATGGTATCATCAACATCTTAGATCAGTAAAACCCCTGTAGTTTTCATGAGGTTCTCATTCAAAAACATATCTGATTACCTCCAACTGATTCCGGCGTTCCGCAACCATTCGCTCATCTCTGTTCCCAAAAATCTTTTTGGGAGGGAAGTCCAAAGCCGCAAGCTAAAACAAGATTCAAGATTATCTAAAATATCTCATTAGTTTGGGATGAAATATATTAATATATAATAAAGAAGAAATCTTTTTTTTTTACATATATGCATGTATCAAAAGCAGCTTATGCATGCATTAATCTTAATTGCATATAAATATTGCAAAAAAATGTGATGGTCCTAAATTGTATTTTGGGGTGAAATTTATATATATATATATATACATACATATATATATAAAAAATGACAAATATTTCAAAAATTGCATGAATAAATCTGATCTGAAATTACTTAAATTTACTAAATTTATGCATTTATCCAATGCAACTTATGATGCACTCTCATGCATTTAATTAGTATGTACATTCTCTGTGAATCAAACCCCGTAACCTTGGTGTTACTCGCGTCATGCTCTACCAGCTGCATCACATTTGTTTCTTAGTATACATGTGGGTCATACCTTTGGATACTTCAGCTTCAGAGATTTGTGCATCTCCCGAAAACGACTGTATCTTCTGAACACCGTCCACGTTTCATCCAAAACAGTGATCTGAACACAGACACAAAACCCCAAGAGGTTTTTTTTTTTTTTTTTTTTACAGGAGGTGGCCAGATGGTCAATTTAATCATTCTTACAGATAATGCGGTGATTGTGATTGTATGAAATGCAGACGAACCTTGACTTCAAACTCGAAGTGTTCATCTTTTCCCTGACCACAAAGGACGTAACGGGGAATACTGATCTTGACTGGATCTTTAAGACTCTCTGGACTCGGATCCAGAGGAATTGACACCAGCCGCTGAGGAAAGACGGGCACTGACGGTCAGAAAGCATCCTCAACTGAAGTGTTAATGAAATAAAATTACCTAAATATACAAGACAGTACCTCATATTTCAGTTTGCGTTGATCAATGCGTTTTTTATCGTTGTCCTGAGAGATTAAAACACATTTCATTAGGTTCATAAAATAATTAACAAAACTTTAACAATCTCAATGACTAGTAGCTGATTTCAGAGAACAAGCAAGCACTTGTTTGTCATTTCCCATAAGTGAGGTAGAACAAAAAAAACAGTTTCATTGCAGGAACAGGTGAAATGCATCTATGCAAGACATCGGTGGGCAGGCTGCATGCTCCCAAAGTAGTAAACCACAGGAAAGACCCAATCTACTGATATCAGAGATTGTGAGCGGTATGCAAATTAAGGCTGGATCATGCAAATCACCGTCCACTCAGCTGGTGCTGATTGGCTGAGGCCTGTGCTTACCTCATCTGTCAATCTCACAGAGCTACCCTCACTATCCTGCTCCTCCTCCTGCAGAGTTAAACAACTTTGTTGATGCCAAAAACAACTCTGTGGGTTTTAATGCGTTTCTTGTGCATGACGAGGGTAAAATTAAACCATTTTTCTCCTCTTTTGCAAGCCCACACCGAACCTGTGCTTGCACACAAATCTCACAGAGAACAGTTTGGCTAATTCATTTGTGCTTTCGGCTAAAATCAGCACAGAAACAGCCCAAAAATAAGTGAATAAAAATGTATAGATTCTGTTTGGGCCTGCTTTTTTCAGTTTCACAAATGTACAAATAGTTGGCATCCAAACCAAAAAGAAAAGCAATTGTGCAACAGCATGTATATTTTATAATAGAATAATGATAGTAAGAACATGATGTTTTGGTCTTCAGTTTAAAGACAACATGAAACAACATATTTCACTTCTGTGCGGTAAAGTATTCTTGAGCGAGACAGAATATTCTGTAGAAAAGAATACAATTTTATTTGTTATAATAGTTTATTATTGGTTAATATTTTTCTCTGGTTATGTTGCCTTAGTTACATAGGCCCCAAAAAAATTGCTAGATTTTCTGAAGAAAACAGTTGTAAATAAATAAGTAAAAATAAAAAAAAAATGTTGTCTTTAAAGTGCCAGTCTGTCTGTTACAGTTTAAATGAGTGAGTGTGTTAGCTGTAGATTTATACCTGCAGTGAATCTGAAGACAGTGAGAGTGTGTTGTTATTCTCTCTATTCCACAGGTTCAGTTTCTGCAGCCTGCGCTGCACCTCTTCTTCAATATACACGTTAATCCTGAGAGGTAAACGGCCAGTTCAGCCACAAATGAAATTACTTACTGACAAAATCACAACCAAGCAGTAAGTCTTTACTACACACTGCTTGTTTGAGACCGTTAAGCAGCAATAAAAGGCAGCAGTGGTGCGTGTACCTCTCGTCTCCTATAGACAGGACAGTCGGGAGGGTCTGTATGGGGCTGACGGGTGACTGGTTCACATTGTTTTTTTCTTCCCCGCTCACACTGAGACTCCGCACGCTTCCTTCACTCTCACTGATCCTCTGCTTCAGCTCCGCGATCTCTCGCTCCATCCTGAGAAACACCCAGAACAAAATCATAAAGCAAAGACACAGCAGAGCGTCTCTAGGTTTATCACATTGGATTCCAGACAACCCCTGGAAGGGGTATCTAGAGTCCATAAAAAATTAGAGATTTTATTTATTTATTTTAGGGCTGTTAAAATTCATCTGTGCACTTAAGATTTTAATGAAATATAGTGTGTGAAACAATTATATTTTTACGTTCACATTCACTTTAATTTAATAGTATTTCATTATGCTTTCTAAAGACTGGTTAAGATTAAGACATTAATTATTCAAAATGATTAATGCATTATTTAAATTATTTTATATAAAATTTTTCTCATAATTTGTTTTTCTAAAGTAAAAATCTTTGAGAAGAATGTAAGTGTCAATCTCAGATACACTAAATAAAAAGTAAATATTTTCCAGATAATCTTTTAACAATTTGTATTAATATAATGACAATGTAAAAATCCAATTGTTTAATTTTGGAAACAATTATTTGTCTATAATATTACTATTAATTAATTTTATTATGTTCTTATACTTGCATATTATTGAGCTGCATTTTAGAGGGCAATATCATGTTTCAATTTGTTTTGACGCTTACAGGTATTAATAATATCACTATTAATTAATTTTACTATATTCTCATATTGTCTGGGTGCATTTCTAAGGTGCAATACCATGCAATACATACATAAGACTTATGTTTTGTGAGTGGTCTGGCATGGAAATATTCCTAATGAAATTAATATAAAGTTTTTACCATACCTTAATCATTGTCTCAAACAGTATAAATATGTATTTTTACATAACAATATACAGCTGTCTTTATTTTTATCAAAAGGGTCCCCTCTCAAGCTGTGCTAGTGTACTTCTAAAAAAACAACTACACACCTGTCCTGGTCCAGGTCTTGTGTTCCTGTAAACCTGGAAGTGCTCTGTCCTAGAGCGGACTGTGACCTCTTTCGGGGCCCTTCGGCGTCCGGCTCCAGACTGAGGCTCCTGCGGTAAGTGGAGTGTCTCCTCTCCAAGCGCGCGACCGCCTGCTCCAGAACCTCCCGCTGCTGTTTCTCCTTCCACTCCAGAATCTCCTTCTCCTTCCTGCGGACCTTCTCCTCCTGACGGGCCACGTTTGCTGTGAACTCGTACGACTGCTGGAGCTGCTGCAACTGCTCTGCGCTCGCGCTGTACTGAGACAAACGCTCCTCCTTCTCCTCCAGCTCCTTCTCTACCTGCAGAGAAAAACAGAGAGCAAAGAAAGATAAAGATGGATAAAAGCGAGATAAATAAGTATTTGTGAGATGCCACTACCAATACAAGTTTGCAGCTTATTCAGGTCAAGTGCCGCCCACTTAGACAGGAAGAGATCATCTGATTGATCAGAGTTTTACCTGATATAGAGTCTCATCCAGCTCTTTGTCCATAGCTTCTGGACTTCTGTCCAAACCAGGAGACCCTGTTCCTCCTCTAACTCTCTCCAGTAGCTCAGTGGCTCTTTGCCGCTCCTCTGAGACAGCGGGGAGGTGTTTCTCACAGAGAGATTGGAGCTGTCTCTCTTTAAACTGCAGCCTGTGCTCGGCCTGCTGGATCAGAACCTCCTCCTGTCCCAGACAGGACACGTCCTGAACGCCACGCTCCATCATATCACAGACCTGCAAGGACGAGAAGAGTGAATCACCAGAGTCTTGATTCAATTTGATTAGATTTTTTTTTATTCTCATGTTGATTCAATTACGATTCTATTACAATGTCCATTT